AGCAGGTGCTCTGTGCCTACTGGCTGAATCGACCTAGACCCCAGACATGTGACAGAGCCGTGCCTGAGGGCCTCCACCTCGGTGCTCTGGAAGGAGAGGGTTCCAGGCCAGTCTGTCGCTCCGCGTCTTTACCCGGCATCTGTAGTCACAAGCCTACGAAGGGCTATAGGACGCCCGTGTCCCTGCGTGGGGGCCAGCCGTGCGCTGATACCCGAGGGGGCAGTGGCTGCAGGCGGCTACAGAGCTGAGACCCAAGGAAGGCGTGTGGTGCCCGCCCGCCCGGTGACCGCAGCCGCCGCAGGTTGGTCTGGTGGCTGGAGCGGGTTTGACGGCAGGCTTACCCTGGGGGGCTCGGGGAGTTGAAGCTCCTTGCTCACATCTGCCAAGTTGGTAAGCTGGGATGTGAAGCCAGCTGTGCAATTCCGGGGTCCTTGCCCTTCAAACAGTGCTCACTGGGGCCCCACCGCCGTTATGTGGACCTGCCTGCACGTGATGTTGCTAAGTAGTGGATCCCTGAGGAGCATTGGCTCCTCGGGCCCCTCTGAGCATGGTTTCTGGAGTTTTCTCCTGCTCTCAGGATCTTCCACAGCTGCCAGGCCCTCAAGTGAGAAAACACACAACCTTCAGACTCGCTGTAGCCGAGGCAGGGCCCTGTGTCTCTGTGGCCCGCTTCTGCTCGGCGGGAAACGGATTGCCGTTCCTCTTTGGAACTGGGTTTCAGGCTGTTGGAAGACGAAATGGAAAAGGAAATTCCTGGAACATTCTGTGGCTCTCGACACCTCCCCTCCCTCCTTCTGCCCTTTGTGCAGCAGACACCCCCTTTCCTGGGATGTCCTTGTCCCAAAGGAAATTCCTGGAACATTCTGTGGCTCTCGACACCTCCCCTCCCTCCTCCTGCTCTTTGTGCAGCAGACACCCCCCTTCCTGGGATGTCCTTGCCCCTCTGGCCAGCATGTCACCTCTGGGAGCCTTCCTGACCCCGTCCGGGTGGGGCCCCTGTCCTCCCACTGGGACGTCGGGCACAGTGCACGACTATGACCTGCAGATGAGCCCCTCCCCCCCGCAGTGGCTGTCCAGGGCTTGGTGTCTGGGACCGTCCTTGCATCTGAGCGTCATGGGCACGTACAGATACATTCCTGGCTGACTCAGACCTTGCCAGTTTAACCAACTGAGCCACCCAGGCGCCCCTAGACTTTGCCAGTTTAAAGAACATACAATTCTCCGTTCTAACAAAAACACTGATGAGGTCACTGAAGATGCATAATAGATAATTACATTTGAAAGGGTTGTTAATTGAGGAAGAAGGCAGAAATTAAAATCCAGAAACAAAGACTCACCTGTCTGGACTCTGGCACGCGTGAGTCCCCGCTCCCTTACTTACAGAGTATGCCTTTGGGGCCATTCTGAGCTTCCCCCAGCCTTTGTTTTCTCATCTGGGAAATGGAAGGCTGTGGGTAGTGGGCTAACAGCTAACGTGAAGACCTTTGATCACTGGGAGCTATAATTAATATGATAGCAGGAAGTCCATTGATATCTGCTTTTGTACTGCGTAGTTTACTGAGCTTCTCTGCCCATTTTTGTGTGTGTCTTTTAAGACATCTTTTAGCTATTAAATTGAAAACCATGACTTGTGAGTCATGACCCACTGAGTATCTGGAAGAAGACCGGGCTTGTTTTCAGTGGATGGTTGGTCAGACACTTAGATCATCTCTCTTTATGTAGTAAACAAATTGATGCTCCCAGAGCGTACTCGTTATAATCATTTTGCAAACAGCACAGATGCATCTGAGGGGCCGGGGATGTTCGCTCCCAGCCAGACATGACACACTAATCGTTGCTCCATGCAAAGTCTGTTGTGTTTTTTTTAAATGTTTTTATTTATTTTTGAGAGAGAGAGAATCAGAGACAGAGCATGCGCGGGGGCGGGGCAGAGAGAGAAGGAGACACAGAATCGGAAGCAGGCTCCAGGCTCCGAGCCATCAGCACAGAGCCCGACGCGGGGCCCGTGAGAGCATGACCTGAGCCGAAGTCGGTCGCTTGGCCGACGGCGCCACCCCGGCGCCCCAAGACAAACTGATCATAAACCGTAAACGAATCCTCTTGTGGCTACGGTTTTAGTTTGTTTTTATGCCCGTGACTGTAGGAAACACGCACAGGTAGACAAAGTGCAGGAAACGGCAGTCGCTGTTTGCTTGGCTCGGGCCGCATACCAGGAATTGTGTCGGGCGCTTTGACGTTCTTTCTTTCAGTCCCCAGAGCCCAGCAAGCGGGGCATCCCTATTTTATGGCTGAGGGAGCTGTGGCCCGAACCCGCCAAGGAGCCCGGCCGTGGCCTCTGCCTACAAGGATTCCATGGGTCTGTCTGGCTCCAAAAGCCTGCAGTCTTTCTCCCTCCGCGTGTGGCACGAGCCGTAAACAGGACATTCCACGTTCGTCCTGGCTGTAAACACACCATTGCTGCGAGGGTCGTGGCCGCCGTGCCGCGACATTGCCGTTTCCCCGAGCAGCTGCTGCGACGGGGCCCGGGCCCACCGGAGGCTCCGTGTGACTGCTCCCTCTTCCTCTGCTGTTCCCCCGCTTGTGACGTTGGTTCTGATGAGTGGACCCCCGGGACCACCCTGTGCCTCGTTGCGGGGCTCATCCACACCTGGTTCTCCGGGAGCTCTCTTCCCAGCCGTCGTGCCGGTAAACTGTCTGTGGTCTGTGAGTGACAGACGTTCGGAGCGACTGCACTCACGGGGGGCCCGGGCAGGACAGAGGAGGGCAGGCTGAACAAGGGGCCGGGGTCTGGGCACCAGCGTGGCAGGTGACAGGTGAAGCCACACGTTCTGTTTAGCGCTCTGGAGGGAGGCTCCGGGGAATGGCTCCTTCCGAGGATGACCTTGATTGGTATTTTTAAGAGAAATTGCTACCTGGGGTCTGTCGTGGACGACGTATCCTGATGTGCTACGACGGTGGAAATTACCCGTTTACATCAAATTATTCTTTACATAATCAGGCATATGTTGCTTTCCACACGGTCTTCTGGATTCTCTTGCATGAAGTTCTTACAGCTCCACCAGGAGGTGGGCTAAAGCGCCCCAAAGTGCAGGTCGGGAAAATGAGGCTGGTAGGAGGAGAGGAAGACTTAGCCTGGGCATAGGGACAGTTGAGGCACACCCATTAGCAATGACCACGCATCCTTCTAGGGAAATGCAGAACACGTCTGGGGGGAAGTGGAGGCTTGGGAACATAGCTTATGGGCTTTTCTCGATGAATCACTATTACTTTTAATAGTGTTATTATAACAGTGGTGTTGGCCTCATGAACCCCAAATATTGAACTGGGCTGAGATCGCAAGTTGATTTGAGGATATGCTGTTGTCATTTTTACACTGGTTTCTCTTCACTTAATGGCCCCAGGTTTAGTACTCTGAGTTCTTCTCTGAGCTCTTCAAAGTCTGTCTCTGTTTACTTTTGGTAGTGAGCTTATTGGGGAAGGCTATATCTTTTCTTTTCTTTTCTTTTCTTTTCCTTTCTTTTCTTTTCCTTTCTTTTTTTCTTTCTTTCCTTTTCCTTCTTTCTCTCTTTTTTCTCTCTCTTTCTTCCTTCCTTCCTTTTTCTTTCTTTCTTTCTCTTTCTTTCTTTCTCTCTGTCTTTCTTATTCTTTTCTCTCTTTTTCTTTTTCTCTATTTCTTTCTTTCTCTCTTCCTTCCTTCCTTCCTCTTTCTTTCTTTCTTTCTTTCTTTCTTTCTTTCTTTCTTTCCTTGTTTCTTTGTTCTTTCTTTCTTTCTTTCTTTCTTTCTTTCTTTCTTTCTTTCTTTCTTTCTCTCAATGTTTATTTATTTACTTTGAGAGAGAGAGAGAAGGAGAGGGAGAGAGGGAATCCCTAGCAGGCTCTGAACTGTCAGCACAGAGCCTGACTCGGGGCTCGATCCCACAATCCGGGAGATCATGTCTTGAGCTGAAATCAAGAGTCAGATGCTGAACCGACTGAGCCACCCAGGCGCCCCCATGTTTTTTCTTTTAATTGGGCTTTATAATGTGCTTTGCAGGGGAGTGTGGGCTTCCCAGGCTGGTAGACTGAAGCAGGAGTAAATTGGCACGGGGTACACCCTCATCATCCTCGCTAGAACCCTGCTGTGCCCCCTGCTTTTTCTGTTTGACTGACCTGAGACTTTGCAACAGTCCACCCCATAGGTGAGGTTGTAGTAAGTTATCACTGAGTAAGCGGGGTGTCAGTGAGTAAGGATCGGCAGAGGGTCCTAAGGGGGAGCGTGGGGGCATTTCTGAGTCGAGATAGGCTGGGCTTGAATCTGGGCTCTGCCCTGGCTATCTGGGTAAGCTGGCAAGTTCCTTTGGTGACTCAGTGTTCACACCTGAAATATGGGACAGTCATGCCTGTCCTGTATGAGTGTTCTAAGGAGTAGGGGCGCCTGGGTGGCTCAGTCGGGTAACGTCCAACTTCAGCTTGGGTCATGATCTCGTGGTCTGTACATTCGAGCCCCGCATCGGCCTCTGTACTGACAGCTCAGATTCTGACCTGCCTCAGATTCTGTGTCTCCTCCTCTGTCTCTCCCTCCCCTGTGCACACACACACACACACTCTCTCTCTCTCTCAAAAATAAATAAACATTAAAAAAAAATGTTCTAAGGAGTACATGAAACAATGCAGTATAAAGGATTGAGTCCGGTGCCCGATGTCTAATATGTATTTGAGAAATATTCCTTCCCGACCTTCCTCCTCCTGTTAGACTCACTGGCTTGGTGTTTGCTGAGGTCGTGTGCAGGGGTCCCACCCGCAGCCTCAGTTCTGTGACCAGCATGGCACAGGGGGCGCCCCATCAGTACTCGAGGGAATAAAACCTCTCATTCGGTGGTTGCTTTGGGCGACCCAGGGAAAATACGAAACCGTAAGGGAACAACGTGCTCGATTCATTACCTCTTCTGCACCTGCTGAGTTTTCTCCCTTAAGGAAGTAAAGATGTTTACAGATACTTCTCTGATTTTTTTTCTTTTCAGTGCCTGAAACAGTATGTCGAGCTCTTGATCAAAGAAGGATTGGAAACTGCGATCAGTTGCCCCGATGCCGCCTGCCCTAAGCAAGGCCACCTGCAGGAGGACGAGGCACGAGCCCCCGAACAAATCCGGTTTTTAACGCGTGCAACTGTGCCCTGCTTGTTTGGCTTTGCGGGTGCCGTGGGTTCGGTTTAGGCTGACCTGGTATCATAGTCTAGCCCTCGGCTCGTTACACTTCTTGTTTGTATTTTTTTTTCTTTCTAGATCGAGTGCATGGTGGCGGCTGAAATTATGCAAAGATATAAAAAGCTACAATTTGAAAGAGGTAGGTGGCCTAGCATATTAGCCGGTGATGATTCCTGTGATAGAAGAAAGGTAACTCGGTGGGGAGAGCGCTTCTGGCGGATAGGATTATGCATCATTTGGCTACCACAGTGAGAGAGTCCATTTAATTGGATTTCTGAAATTTGTCACTCTCAAAAAAATTTTTTTTAATGTTTATTTTTGACAGAGAGCACGTGCAAGCTGGGGGAGGGGCAGGGAGACAGGGCGAGAGAGAATCCCAAGCAGGCTCCTTGCTGACAGCACAGAGCCCAACGTGAGGCTTGATCTCACAAACTGTGAGACCATGACCTGAGCCAAAGTCAAAGTCAGATGGACGCTTGACCGGCTGAACCACTCAGGCACTCTGTGAAATTTGTCACCTTGAATTCTCTGCAGAGCTCACAGTTGGAAGGACTGTTGTTGGGTCATAAGGTCATTTGGTCATAAGAAGGATTCATGAAACATAACTCGTTTACAGAGATTTGGCCTTAGGGGGTGTTCTAAAGAGATTTCACCCTCACAGGGTGTTGTTATTCTTCAGCCGGGTTAGGACTAATAGTTTGAGGACCAAATTCTGGGACCTATGCAGAATTTAAAAGATCCAAAGGCACACAAGGAAGTTCTGAGACCAAGCATAGGTGAGTTATGATGACTGCCATCAAGACAGGAAAGCACCCTGGTCCTCCACATTCACTGTGCACCTGATGCTGAGTCCCTGGTCTCAGTAAGTGTCCGGACAGCCCTGCTGTTTGTCGTCATGTGTGAACAGGACACCCCAGAGACTAACTAGCTCACCTGATTTCTACCTCTAGTGGGTGGGGCGCGGTGTGGACCAGATCCCCCTCAGGCCCCCAGAGGGCCCTGCACAGCCCTCGTGGTGGGAGCCGGACCTGCCGTAGACCTCGGGGTTCTCCAGGAGCATGGTGTGGCATGTGCAGAGCAGCGACGGCGTCATTTTCGAGGTGGCCGTCGCAAAGCGTTCACACGGGTTGGATATCCAGGACTGGTCTTTAGCTTTGCTCTCTGAAGTGTGCCAGGGTCATCAGATGATGTTCTAAAGAGCCCATCAATTCCATTTGCCTTCATTTGCATATATGTCCTGGACCTTGGGCTCCTCTGAAAAGGAGCAGAATAACAGATGTGGGTAGGTGACGCTCTTACGCAAAACTTCACTGTGCAGATAACGCATCCGAACTCTGACCTCAGCTCAGGTTGGAATGGTCCAAGCATGCCCTCCCCTCTTCCCGGTCTGGTACCCAGAGCCTGGTCTGCATCGGGCGCTCACGACTGAGACACAACCCTGGGAAACACCATCAAGATGGGACTGGAAGGCAGAAGGGACCAGAGCAAAGTGTCAAGAGATTCCCAGCTTAGCTGAATGTGGAAAGTTTTTTCTTTTCTTTTTTTCCCCCATGTTTATTTTTGGGAGAGAGAGAGAGTGCACAAGAGTAAGAGAGCAAGCCTGAGCCAGGCAGGAGCAGAGAGAGAGGGGACAGAAGATCCGAAGCAGGCTCTGGGCTGACAGCAGACAGCCCAATGTGGGGCTCGAACTCGCAAACCATGAGAGCATGACCTGAGCTGAAGTTGGACAGTCAACAAACTGAGTCACCCAGGTGCCTCTTCTCCTTCTCCTCCTTCCCCTTCCTCTCCTCCTTCTCCTTCTCCTTCTCCTTCTCCTTCTCCTTCTCCTTCTCCCCTTCCCCCCCCCTTCTTTTTTCCTTAAGAAATGCTAAAGAGAGTTGCATTTCTTTTAGAGGCTTACTTCTGGAAAACAAAAAAAGGCAGTGTGTGGCCAACTTAAAAAAAAATAAAATCAAACAGGATTTTGATGGCATTGAAATTGTTTTCAAGAGCCTGTTTATTTAAATGCCATATATCATTTAGTTTGGGGTGGTTTACAGCTTAAATGTAATGCCATGTGAGACAAGAGTCAGTATGTGGAGCTATAAAATTGATGAATTCGGATTTCTGAGACTTTCAGGCTCTCCTGAAAATATTTTCTGGAGAGAATCCTGACAGAAACTGGCAGTTATTTGGGTTACAAGAGAATTAACTTTCCTGGCCTGGAATTTAATTTAAAAATGCAGCTGGATAAATTTTCCTACCTAATAATTTTGACTTTGTTCTTTCAAATACTTTGTAATTTCCAGTGCTTTGGTTTAGTCAAAGACTTTTTCTTATAAAAACTTTGCATAAAAAGGAAGCCAGCTTGACTTAGGTTAATGGAATCTCTCAAACCCATGACTTTAGAACATTTTGCTAGCATTATGTGAAAAGTCACAAAAACACCAAGTGAACTCAGACTCAGTATGACCAAAGACCCTTCTGAATGAAGCATTAAGATGTCAGAGCTAAAGGAGGGACGGATGCCTGGGGGTTCAGTCAGTTAAGCGTCTGAATTCAACTCAGGTCTTCATCTCATGTTGGTGAGTTTGAGCCCCGTGTCAGGCTCTCTGGTGACATCGTGGAGCCTGCTGGGGATTCTCTCTCCCCGTCTCCCCCCTCTCTCTCTGTCTCTTGCTGCCCTTCTCTGCCTGTCTTATTCACTCTCTCTCTCAAAACGAATAAATAAACTTAAAAAACAAGATGTCAGAGCTAAAAGTAAAGCTGTTACTTCTAGTTAGTGCACTGAACAAGTTTTGAGGTAGGATCATAGAGCAAGTTTCAGCCTGTTCTGTCCTTTTGAAATGCAGCCAGGGAGGATACCCTGGAAGAAAACCCAGTTCCCAGATCTTCTGACAACAGTTAGTTACTGAACAGTTCTGTGGTGGCTTTAAGTTGCAGACATTGTCTCCATTGGGTCTTAGAATGACTCATCTGATATAACAGCCTTGATCGCTCTGCTCTCTCTTGTTTAATTGAAGTGTGGTCGACACAGCATGTTTTATTAATTTCAAGTCTAGCAACCCTGATTTTAATCTGATCTCCCCCACTCCTCCAGTTGGGTTTCTGACAAGCCGGAGGCTGTGGGGCTTGTTTTCCTTCCTTCCTTCCTTCCTTCCTTCCTTCCTTCC